ACAAGCCACATTTCAAAGCTCGTGTGTTGGCATAAACGTAGCACTTAAAGGATTATAGTCTTAGGTGCTGATATTAAAAAACAAGAAAGGCTACTATGAATGAACCAGGGATACAATGGAAGAAGATAAATATAAAGAAAGAAAAATAGAATAAACCCAAAGAACACATAAAGGCAGGATGAAGGATAATTTAAAACACAGCATAAAGCTCAAGCAAAGAGTAAAGCCAAGAGCATGTTCTAAAAGACATAAAATGAGTGAACATCTGGTGGAGCTGATGAAAAAAAAGAGTTGTCACAAATAACAACATTAGGAATGTAGAAAAAGACATAACTACGGGTCCAACAGAAATTAGTGGCTTCTGAGGATAAGTAGAAAATGCTATAAACAATTTTATGATAATAAATTTGAAAGCAGAAAAGGGCAAATTGCTATAAAAATTATAGTCATCGAATATGTTCAAGAGGAAGAGAAATCTGAAGAATGCCGTGGCCATTAATGAATTGAAAAGGCAATCGAAAATCCTCCCACAAAGAAAAGACTAAGTCATACAGTTCTACGAGGTGTTCAAAGAGCAGATAATTTCAGTCCTCTGCAAACTCTTCGGGGAACAGCAAGAGAGGAAATACTTGTTCTGTGGGGCCAGGACTATCATGATACCCAAACCAGGCAAGGTCAATACAATAAAATAGAAATTACAGCCCCATCTTATTCATGCACATCCATGCAGAAACCTTAACAAAATATCAGCAAACCAAATCCAGCAATTTATTAAGAAGACAATAATACATTGGTTTTATCCCAGCAGCGTAAGGATGATTTGACATCAGATAACCCATGAACATAACTTAACCTTGTTGATAGATTAAAGGTTAAAAGCTGTAGATGTGGAACATTCATTCACAATGAATGTAAAGCAGAAACATCTTGGAAAACCAAGATTACAGGGGAACTTATAAAACAGAAGAAATCTGTTTAAAATCAGTAATTCCCTTCTTTTTCAGGCTGAATGATGTTTCATTGTATATGTACCACATTTTCTTTATCATTCCTCACCACGCACATGAAAGGTAATTATGTGAGGTGATGGAGGTATTAACTGACCTGACTGTGGTGATATTTTGCAGCACAAACATGCATCAAATCATCACACCTTAAACTTACACGGTGTTAGGTGTTCTTTCACAGTGAAGCTCAGAAGAATTAAAAATAAACACACACAAAAATGAAGTACAAGTAAAAAATAAAAACCAGTGATAAGACTGCATATGTGAGTGTGAGTGTGTGTGTGTGTGTGGGTGTCCTGTATTAGTGCTTCTATTCTACGTTTTACTATAAGGCGTAGCAGTATATAAGGGCAGAAATAAAAACCAACAATGTAAGCATCGGCAAAGAAGAAACAGTAGTCTATCCTTTACCGATGATAGGCCAACAGAGAAAACCCAGAGGCATCTCCAGGTCAATTATTAGAAATAATAAGAGAGTTTAGTGAGATTGTTGGATTTAAGATCAATATGTACAAATCAATTGTCTTTCTCTATACCGGCAAAATTTAGAAAACACACACACAAGAGATTGCATTTAAAATAGCAGTAAGAAGTAGAAGGTACCCAGGAATAAATCTAATAGGAGGTGTGCAAGACTTAAATGGAAGCAATGGAAGACATTGAAAAGGATGTACAAATGGAAATGCACATTTATGGGTAGGAGACCCAAGATTATACAAATGTCAGTCTCCCCCGCCCCCTCCCGGTGGTCCCTCACATAGATCCATTGTGCCATGCCAGTGAGAATCCCAGCAGTTTCAGATGGATTTGACAGGCTGATTCTCAGATGTATGTGTAAGAGCAAAAGAACAAAAATAGGGAAAGTATTCCCGAAGGAAGAGGGGGAGGAGAGAGAGAAGAACGAAGAGGGATGTTTCTCGTACCACACGGGAAGATCACTATCAAGTTGTAGCGATGGAGATGTGGATTCTGATGCAGGAACACACACACTGACCCATAGATCAAAAGGCAAGGGTCAGTAGCAGACACCTACCTGAATAGAAAGCAGGCAAGTGACGAAAGTGGCATTCTGCACCAAGAGGAAAGGGGAAGACAGGTTGCCAAAAAATAGTGCCAGAAAACCTGGCTGGCAGTGTGGGGAAAAGTGAAAATTTGGTCCCTACCTCATGACTTACATGAGCAACAGTTCTGGGTGGAATAAAGATTTAAATGTAAAAGACAAAGCTGTAATATATCCAGAAGGAAATTCTTCCTGACTCAGGGTAACAAAGAATGTCTTCAACAAGACACACACACACACACACACACACACACACACACACACACACACACACACACAGAAACACTGCATTCAGTTACGTTAGAATTAAGAAATTCTATTCGTTGGAAAACACCAACAAAAAATGAAAAGGGACCAATATGGAAGAGACCTTCACAGTACTTAATGACAAAGTTTCCGTATCCAGAATAATAAATGAATAATACGAATATTGTCAACCCATTTGAAAAATGAGCAAAAGATATGCAAGACACGTCACTGGTGAAGAAACAGGAATGGCAGAGAAACAGAAAGAAGCCCAACTCCATGACTAAGTGAGCAGATTAAGACCGCGTTTTACACCTCTAGACTGGCGGAAACTAAGTAGTCTGACAACGTCCAGTATCAGTGAGGATGCCTAGTAATAGGGACAGTCATGCAGGTGTGGTTCGATGTTGAAACGGGGATCACCACTTTGGAAAACAATTTGAAAGTATTCTGTAAGGCTGACAATTTGTACTAGACAACCCAGTGACCACCCTCCTAGGCTTTTTCTAGAATATACATCTTCCTACTGCAGTATGAGCATTAAGGTGTAGCCATTTTATGGTTAAAACAGAATAGAAAATATCAGAGGGCGTCCTTCATGTTGTTCCCGGTGTATGTGAGTCTATATTTGTGTTGGGTTCCGATGTAAAAAGTATTTCATATGAAAATGATTGAAAACAATGTGAAAAACAGTGTCTTCCACGTATGCCCTGGGCAGCACACATAACAATGTTCACAGCTGCATTGTTTATGATCGCACAAAATGGGAAAAAACAAAAAGATTTCCTTTGACAGGAGAGGGGACCAATACATGAAAATTAACCTGCACAATGGAATCGGACACAACTTTGGATGGAATGAACATGGTTACATGTCATAATGGATGAATCTTAGAAACAATGTTGAACGGAAAGAGCCATCCCCAGAAGACTGAACAACACAGAATCGTAATTACAAAGCTCAAAAAAGCTCCACTACACACCTCTTATTAAGATGATCTATGCAGGACATACAGATCTTGAAGAAGAGCAGAGAGATAGCCACGCAGAGGACTATTACTCAGCCATAAAAAGGAACGAAGTTCTGACACAGGCCACAGCATAGACGAACCTTGAAAACATGATGCTAAATGCAAGAAACCAGCCATCAAACGCTACATATTGTATGATTGTTTTACATGTAGTGTCTAGAATAAGCGAATCCACAGATGCAGAGTGGATTAGTGGTTGTCAGGGGCTACGGGTGGGGAGTTGGGAAGAATGAGAGCGATTGTCCAGGATCCTGTTTACCTCTGGGAGTGAGGCAGAGGGATGGTTTGGAGGAAAATATAGGTAAATGCAGCAGGTGCTTATAAAGTTCTAGTTTTTAAGTGAAGGGTGTTCATCTTAATACTAAGCTTCCTTATGCCCGTGTGCTACATACATTTTATACGTATAAAATGTAAAATGTATGTAAAGTTGAAAAGAATAACAAATAATAGATGAGATGGCATTAGAAGCAAATTACTACCTTTTGATTAACACCGAGCAGCTTTCTCCCAAGTCCCCACCTGGGACTCAGCACTACTCTGGATGCAGCTGTTCTGACCTCTGGTGGCCGAGAGGTGAAGGGCAGCTGCGGGTGCTTGCTTGGGATTTGGCAAGTAATGGGGGCGATCCCTCAGAGCATGCCTGGTCCTGGCCACTAGACACCGGTCTGGGGGGTCAGGCCACTGCCAGGTCCACCCCCGAGAGGAAGGCAGACAGCCTTGTGCTTTCCTGGTTTGGGTTTCTTTCTGCTTTTCCTTGATGGCTCTTTAGGAAACATACTTCCTTAAGCCCAGGAGTGAGTCGGGTGGGACTCCACTGAAATCTGTCCCTGGGAGGGACCAGCTGGCCGCCTTCTGCTTCTGTCCAGATGGCCCATCCTGGGGTCCCTCGCCTCAGAGTCCAGGGGCTCGGTGAGCTCATGAACAGAAGGTGAAGGTCGGGGTGCTGACGCTCAGAACCAGTCTGCACGCTGCTTTTGTTTGACCAAACAACTTTCTGGAGGATTATGAACTAAAACTGTAGGAAGAATTGGCTTGGGAACTTTGGAGGTGAGGGTGTCGGGGGCAACTTAAGGGAAAGCTGTTGACATTTCAGGGTTTACCATATGGAGACCAGTAAACAGCGAGTCTCCCGCCCCGGCTGGCTGGCCGGGCTAGAGAGGCATTCGCTTACCTGCCCCATTTAACTTCCTAGAAGAACGAAGTTGCAACTGTGGGTGTTGGCTGTGGGGGTCCAGGCCAGGAAGGCCCGGAAGGATGGCCTGGAGTGGAGGGCACAGCTGGGGTCATCAGCAAAGCCCTTGGGGTTTTCTGGCATTGGCAGCAGAGAGGCAGTGTGGTGGAGGGGTCAGGACCTGGGCTCTGCTGTCACTATCATGACTGTCATTTAATCTCTTTAAACTGTGGTTCTTCACCCGCAAAATGGGTCCGTCGTTGTGCATACTCATTGTAGAAGGCAGTCGTAGTAATTAAATTAACGCCTGCAGAGCCCTGCGTGAGAGCTCAGTAAATGCCAGCTGCTTCCGCTCTGTGGCTTGAACTTTCAGCGTGTGGAGAGTATCAGAATAGAGCTGGGAGCCCTACTCGGCCCCTGACTGGGCTGAGGGTTGCAGTGGGGAGTCTTCTATGCAGAGAGTCACTTTCCTTCCTTTGTCCCCAGACACCATGGAGGTGGTGCTGATCTTTCTAGGCAGCCTGCTGGCTCCCACCGTCCTGGCCAGTGGTAAGTAACCCGCCAGGTCCTGGTCCTTTGGGATGTAGGGCTGCGGGGCCCTCAGGTTCTACACGCCTGATTAGTGACTCCCCTGTCCTCCCTGAAGTCAGCAGAGAAGTTGCCGGACGGCAGCATGTGTTCACAGACCCTACTCCAGCCTGCCCACCTCTCCCCGTGGCGTCCAGCAGCCTCTACTTTTAAGCCCCCAAGCCCTCCAGGTCCCTGCAGATTTTTGGCCTGAACTTTGGGAACCAGGCCAGGTCACCAGTGTCTGGATTCTGGCTTTGCGCAAGTCACGTGTCCTTCCTTGGTCTCAGTTTCCTCACCTGTAACGAGAGGATCACAGACCCTGCCTTTGGGGGGTGACGTAAGAATACAAAGGGGGGAGAAACGTGGATGTGCCGCAAAGGTGGAATCTCTCCGGGGCCCGAGCGGTACCCGGTTCCGGTTCCGCTCTCCGGCTGCCCTAGTAGGCGGGCCCTTCTGTGCCTCCCCGCGCATCTCTGCCTTGCGGGCTCTCCCTCCCCGGAGGCCTTTTGTGGGACGTGACGCCGGTGGGGTATTTGGGGAACCAGACGTGCATCTGTCTTCCTCTTGCCCACACGCGTTTATTTTTTCAGCAGCTGAGCAGGAGAAGGAAAAGGACCCTTTTCATTATGGTGAGCAGCGATGGTAACCCTGGGGGGGGGGCGGGGGGAGGGGGCGGCCCCGGGGAGGGGGCGGCCCCGGCCCCACCCAGGGACAGGAAGCCATGCTCTTCCCTCCCCTTTGTCACCCCTGCTCCTTTGGCAGACTACCAGACGCTGCGGATCGGGGGACTGGTGTTTGCAGTGGTGCTCTTCTCTGTGGGGATTCTCCTTATCCTGAGTAAGTTTGTTCGTTCCCTGTTCGCTCTGTAGGAGTGAGGCCTGCTGCCTCCGGGCGGGTGGGGGAGGGTACAGGAGCCCGGCCGTGCTCTCTCGTGGAGGGGGAAGGGTGGAGGGGGAAGGAGACGGTCCCTTCTCCCTGGTATCTCTAGCACCTAATACAGTGCGAGGTGCATAGCAAGTGCTCAGTAAGGCAGTGAAGAATGAACAAACCAGGGGCGCCTGGGCGGCTCAGTAGGTTAAGCGTCCGACTTGGGCTCAGGTCACAATCTCGCTGTTGATGAGTTTGAGCCCTGCATTGGGCTCTGTGCTGAGGGTTCGGAGTCTGGAGCCTGCTTCTGATTCGGTGTCTCCCTCTCTCTCTGCCCCTCCCTTGCTCTTGCTCTGTCTCTCCCTCTCTCAAAAATAAACATTTAAAGAAAAGTGAACAAAATAAATGCTTGATGAAAACAAGCAGGTCATCAGAAGGGGCAGGGTGGCCGTCCTGGTGCTGCATCCAGTAGGCATAGCCGTGCTTTTTATGTAGTCCCGTGTGGCAGCCTTGCGGTGGTCTAACCAGGAGCGCGACCTTGAACTCAAGCCGGGAGCATGACCTTGGGTGGTTTCTTTGCCTTTCAGGTCGCAGATGCAAGTGCAGTTTCAATCAGAAGCCCCGGTAAGGATGGCGTGTCTGTGGCCTTGGGAGGGACGCTAGGAGGGGGCAGGGAGGGGCCCTCTGGTGTGTGGGCCCCAAATGAGAGTTCTTTTTGGATTCTTAGCTCAGAAGCAGGCTGTGTGCGTTGGGGGTAGAGAAGTTCGGAGGATTGCCAGGCGTGTTCTGGCCATGTCAGAGGAGGGGAGGTAGGCATGAGGGTGCTGGACCCTTGTCCGAAGGCCTTTGAGGCAGTTGGGCTTAGAAGGGAAGCAGAGGGCCTCAGAGCCTCTCAGGAGGCCCGTCTCCTCTCTACGGGACCTGTGGCGCTGTGCCTCGGGCTCCCCGTCATGCACTTCACCCCCCGCCCTGCACACATAAAGGGCACGCCCCCCTAGTCCACTACAGAAACCAAGGGCAGCAGCGGGCCTCAGAGGCCCGAAGTCTGGCAGGACACGATGCAAGCCCCCAGGTGGCCTTAAGCCACTCCCTCCCAGCGCTCCACGGGGCCAGCACCCCAGGGCGCCTGTGACTGCCCCTGACACCCCTTCGACCCCAGCTCCCCCCGGCCCACGCGACCCTTGGTGGAGAGTGCTCCAGCCCTCCAGCCGCTCGCAGGGGCCTGATCAGCGGCCCCGGCCCCTGCCCCACGGGTTTGCACTGCAGACCCCTGACCTAAGGGCTGTGTCTCCTCCTGCAGGGCTCCCGGGGATGAGGAGGCCCAGGTGGAGAACCTCATCACTGCAAATGGTAACGGTTGGGACCCCCGGCCTGGGGCGGGGGGTGATGTGGAAGCAGAGGGGGAGGGTCCTCGTATCGCTCGCTCTGGGAGGGACGGTTGTCAGACACCGCGGCCTCCCTAGAGTGAACCAGACGTGCTTCTGTGTCCGTGCGAGGGCAGCGGCCTCCAGGGCCTCTGCTCTGCGCTGCCCCCTCATCCCCACCAAACCGGCTCCTCCTCCTGACCTCCGCCATTTATAGGGCTTCTGCTCTGTGTCAGGCACGATCCAGGTGCTTCATGGAGCCCGTTCCACGGGCGCACAGCCCCGTGATAGAGATGCCACGATCCACGTTTGGTAACCGAGGGACTCAGAAAAGTTAAGGAATGTGCCAGATGCCTATAACCAACAAGATTCGGGGCAAGATTTGCACCTGCCTCTGTCTGACTCAAAGTCCTGCCAAACCGCTGCTTTGCCTTATGGCCTAGACTCCCCCGGCATCAGGCCTGGGCGCGGCTGGTGTGGCTGGGAGCCTGCTGGGGTGAGGGGTCCGTTCCCCACAACCTGGTCTATTTTTTTTCTAGCCACGGAGCCCCAGAAAGCGGAGAACTGAGGCGCAGCCCGCAGGTGGGAAGGTAGGATTCTGTGTTTCTGTGTCTTCCTCCGTCTCCATCACTACTCACTCCTCAGGGCGGTTCCGGGCCAGCTTTTGCAGCGGGCACGGCCTTTATTCTGAGCCGTGCTGTGAGGAGTCTTGTGTCTGACAGGCAACGAGACAGACAGACCGAAACATCCAGCGTGCACCACACACACACGGGGAACGGTTGGGAAATAGGGCTTCTGCACAAGCCGGTGGTCATGTTAGTGGAGCAAACTCCTCCCTGCTCTGGGGACAGGACTTGGTTCATGCAATCCTCCTGATACTAAAATAGCATGAAGACAATGGCTTTTAGCCACGATTCAGAAAGTACCTTGGGAGCACTTAACAAAAAGTAACAGTTTATTTTTTTTAAGGGTTTTTTTTTTTGTTTGTTTTTTTAGTGTTTATTCATTGCGGGGCTTGAACCCATGAACCATGAGATCATAACCTGAGTCCAAGTCGGCTGCTTAGTGGCTGAGCCACTCAGGCGCCCCTAAAAAGTAACACTTTGGACTGAAATGTTCTAACTCTACACAAAACTAGGGAGAATAGTGTAACCCCCTCCCCTTTGCCCCTATACCGGCATTATCCAATCTCAGTTCTCAGCCAATAGGGGCACTGTATTTAGCATTTGCTTCCATTGTTCTTTGTAGGGACACGGGAGAGTAATAATTGTTAAATGCCATAGTTTTCAAAATGCTGCTGCATGCACACTTGGCCGAGCCTACCAGAAGAAGCAAGCAGGGCAGGTGGGATTGAGCCCCATTTTACAGATGAAGAAACTGTGGTCAGCGAGAACAGCCATACGAGATAGCGAGTGACAGGTGGAACTGAACTTGGGCCATTTTCCACACCCCTCTGCTTCTGCCCGATAGGCAGAAATTGAAGACCTACCTGGAAAATACTAGGGTGGGGGGACGGGGTTCATCCTTCTATCCACTCACTTCTGCCATTTTGTTCTGTACACATAAGGCGCAGTAGACAGGCATATGACTGTATCCTGAATGTCGGCTGAGAGATTTCTGGGTGTAAAACACCGGGTACACCAGGTGATCCCAGTGACACGGTGTATTGTGGAGCGTGATTCCCAAGTGCATTTCTGTCATCACGACAGCCTTGTGGGTGGACAGCGCAGGGCTCATTCTGCCCATCTTCTAGATGGGGCTCGGGAGGGCCAGTGATCACCTACGCACGAGGTCGTAGATGCCATTCCAGGAGGCGGAAGTCCTCGCTGGTGGCTCGGGGTTCTGTCCGTCCGTGGCCGCTGGCAGGTCTGATCCTGGGGCTGGCGTGGGGAGGCTTAAGGGAAGGAGGCTTGAGCTACAGTTGTGGTGTCTTGTCCTTTTTTGTTTGTTTGTATTTTTTTTTTAAACTAGGGCTTCCTCAGAAAACTTGTTCTCTTAGGTCTCGGGGTTGTGAGCAACGACTGGGGGTGTCCAGAAACAGAAGCCCCGGGTTTAACAATCTTCCTTCCGCGGCTGTCAGGTTCTAGCTCCCTGAGAGAAGCATTTCCCTGAGGGCCCCTCCCCCACCCCACCCCCTCCCTCCCTTCCCCTGCATCTTATGAGCTTGGCGTGGGACTCTTGCAAGTCTCAGGGGACACAGGCCATACGCTAAAGGCAGGGACGCAGCAGGTAAAGACTCCAGAAAGGAATCAGAGGTGAGTTTTCATTTAAATTCTCTCCCCCCTTTATCTTCCAGAACCTGAAAGGAGCTGCTTGAACCTTTAGACGCAGATGTTGATGCTTCAGAACCGGCCACTTGGGCAGCAGATCCTTCCCCGGGAGAAGCCAAGAATGTGTGTGTGTCCCCTGCCCTTCCCCGACCCCGGGAGCACCATCCTCGACTCACGACACTCCAGCCCGCCTCTCCCGCCCGCCGCCCGCCGTCTCGCCCACCTCCTGTGACATGTCTGCGTGTTTGATGACTCCGTGGCTGCTTGTTTGTGGGTGGTGTTGTGTTTTAGTGACCCTGATTTGCTCTCCTGGGCGGGTGCTGAGCCTCGCCACCATCCGCCCCTCCCTGCCCCCCTGCGCCCTCACCCACATCATCTCCCACTCCTGGGGTGCGCTTTTCCCCCGAGAGACCATCCCTTCTCTTGATCCGGGGGTGGGTGTAGGGCGAGGGGGGTGTGGGTGGGGGGTCTCCAGTTGCCTCGGGACTCGGGAGGGTTTACATCACCTTCGTGATCGTTCTTCTTGGCCTCTCTTCACTTCATTTACAAGAACCTCGCTTCTGTATTCTAGTCCTGCCCCAGGTCTGCTCGGAGGGTCTCTGGGCAATTGGAGGTTGGTGGCAAGGAGCTGGCGAGCCCGGCTTTGCCTCCGGGCAGGCTGTGCCCCTTCCCCGCTCCTCTTCCTCCTGGGGCTTCTACCCCGGAGTCCCCGTCCGCCCTGCAGCATCGCAGAGCAGCCCGGGCCCAGGGCCCAGGGCTTCGACTCTGCCCCTGGGGAATGTGCCCCCTGCATATCTTCTCAGCAATAACCCCACGGGCTCTGAGCTCTGCTCCGCGCTCCTCCCTTCCCTCCTTCTGAGACTCCCAGCTGCAGCCCAGCTCTGCTGGACGGACTCCTGTCCCTGAATGAGGTCTCTGGCAGGCAGTGGCTGGGGGGTCTGCTCTGGTGGGGCCAGCAAAGTGGCGGGGAGACTCTGCCATGACCCACTGGTCAGGCAGCGGCGATGGCTCCCAGGCCCTCTGCTCCCCCTGTTGCTGGTTAGAGCAGCAGGTGCAGCGGCTAGAAGGCAGGTTAGAGACCCCTCAAGGGCAGGTCGGCACAGCCCTGCTGCAGAGAGAACTGCAAGAGGTCGAAGGTCACCCAGAAGGGGACATCCAAGCAGACCCCGCCCCTCCCATCCATCGTGTTCTTGGAATCTAACCAGACGTGCCCCTGTGACGGGCCCTCGCTGTCCTCCGTGTTGTGATCTATCCTCTCCACGACAAAAAGGAATAAAACACCATTTGTTTCCTAGTGGCTCTGAAGTGCTTTCCTTTGTGTAAGAGAGCTGGAGTGTGTGGCGCCGAAGGGGCTCTGTCCTTGGGCAGAGGGAGGAGGTAACAGCTGAAGAGGCAGCTGTGCAGGCCAGTGGCTTTGCCGCTTAGCTCCCGCCCTCCCCCTCCCCCCAGGCCCCTCCTCCTCCCCCCTCCCCCTAGGCCCCCCCCCCCCCCCCCCCCCCCCCCCCCCCCCCCCCCCCCCCCCCCCCCCCCCCCCCCCCCCCCCCCCCCCCCCCCCCGTCTCCCTCTGCTCCTGGGTCCCTGCGCCTGGGCTCTGCCGCATGGCGGGAACTGAACCTTATGCACATCCCCGCACAGAAGCAGAGAGCCACGGTGGCTTGACTGAGCACATGCTAGCCTAGAACAAAAGGTTCTAACTTTTTGGTTAATTCTGGGGTCGCTACGTAAGGTCTTGGCAAAAAGGGTGTGGGGTCACCTGGGTTATGATCGAAGCCCTTACCCTTTCATCTTTCTCCAAACCCCAGTTCCTCCTCCTCTGTGAATCCTTACTAGACTTCGGGAAGAGTGAATCCCTTGCTTCCTATGCTCCAGCCACCCTGGTTCTGGCCTTTATCTTCACATTTAGTGTTCCGTACCTCACGTCAGAACTGTGGAGGTCAGGGGCCGCCCGGGGGCTCAGTTGGTTGAGTGTCCGACTTCTGCTCAGGTCATAACCTCATGGTCTGTGAGTTCGAGTCCCACATCGGGCTCTGTGCTGACAGCTCAGAGCCTGGAGGCTGCTTCAGATTCTGTGTCTCCCCCTCTCTCTGCCCCTCCCATGATCGTGCTCTCTCTCTCTCTGTCTCTCAATGATAAATAAACATTTAAAAAATTAAACTCCACTGTGGAGGTCAGGGGGCACCCGAGGGGCTCAGTCAGTTAAGCATCTGTTGATCTCAGCTCACGTCTTGAGCTCAGGGTCGTGGGTTCAAGCCCTGCATTGGGCTTCATGTCAAGCATGAAGCTTACTTAAAAAAAAATACAAAACTGTGGAGGCCAAGTGGATAGTGTCCATTTGTAAATTAGCTGTGGTGACATAACAGATGGCTTGTAGGGGCCAGGGGTCACCCACAGTGTCCTCCCAAAGACATTCTGATCCAGTCTTTGAAAAAGTACTGTTGGCCAAATAAACACAGGTGCAGGCTGATTCTCTGCGAGGCCGCTGCTGCCCGCCTCGTCTCTGTGAGCTTTGGTGCCTTCATCCAAGATGGCTCCCAGTGGGCAAAGACTGTGTCTTGTTCTAAGGTAAGAGCACCTGGAACACCTTCACGTCACACCCCCCAATCTTCAGAGTCTGTCTAGATTCTGTGAGTAGTTTAGACCTGCAGAATTGGCAGGTGCAGTTCCTCAGGGGCTCGGGGGTCCAGTCTGCATGGGCTAATGAGCATCATTTGTGGGCGCACTCACAGGTCGGGGGTTTACAAGGCTGGCAGCAGTTTCAGAGCTTGGCCAAGACCCTTTGAAGCCCCAGGAACACAAAAGACTGTGGGTACCTCCCCGCATTCGTTATTAAAAATAAAACCTTAAACTCTATGAGGAAGTGTAATGGGGGAGATTCTGATTTTTCTCATAGTAATCATGTTAATAACAGAGAACGATGTTATCAACTCTAGGATATATAGAAAATAGTTTTCCCTCCTTTGCGAAACTCTCAGCACTCACTTATCTCCCCCAACCCCCTGGATAACCCAGTTGTATTTCTGGGGTGGGTAGGATACTCACACGTTACAGATTCTCTGGAATATTTGTGACCGGTCTAGGCCACAGGGCTGTGAAGTGGAGGGGCTAGGAGCCCAGCCGAGGCTGTCTGTGTGCAAAGCTCTCCCTGGCCCGCCATGCGGCCTGGCCTCCTGCTGCGGCGGGGGGGGGGGGGGGGGGGGGGGGGGGGGCTGACGTCCAGATGCAGGGGGTGCAGGGGGAGGTCCACCTGACGTGGTGTGAGCACATCTGGAGCATGGCCGGCCCTTCAGCGCCTGCGCCAGCTAGCCTGTGCCCTGGGGAGGCTCTTGTGGCCTGGAAAGAAGACACATAACGAATAGTCAAAGGAACTGATGGTCAAAATAATGGCGATATTATTATTCGTAACTGACTACATAAAGCAGTTCGTACCTCCAGCGCGTACACTTACCAACTCGGGGCGGATGATGTCACACAGATCGGCTCATTCAGAATTCACGGCACCACCTGACGCGGTCCTGATTTTACAGATGAGGGAGCTGTGGCTCGTTGGATTGGCCTGGGTTTGTGCTCTTAGGGGCAAAGCCAAGGTCCAAGCCCAGGCCCATCCAGCTCCAAGCCCGGCTCACTCTGTGCTGCCGAGGAAGGGGTTTGGACCCTTCAAGGGTTCAGGAGAAGAAGCAGAACTTGGTCTCATGTGAGGGAGTCCTTGGTTCCCATGGCCGTGATGATCCCAAACTGGAGTGGCTCTCCGTCTCTGGAGGTGCTCCAGACCCCCTGGGCAAAGCTGGTCTCTGAGAACCTGCCCAGGATGGCCTGATCGACCCAGGTCCAGGCTCCAACTGAGATCTTCATCCACTCCCGCACCCCACACAATGGATGATCCCCTTCTCCCTGTCTGATCTAGCACTGCAGGGCCAGGGAAGAAGAATCCAGCATCTGGGCACGAATTGCTGTTTAACGTGTGTCTTCCTTCTGGACCCACACTCTATGCTGGCAGGACTGTCCGTCTGTCCACTTAGCCCCCGAGGTAGGTGACTGATGTAATTTGGTTGGATATCAGAGCTATAACTTGGTTACATAGGAAAGTTGCCACGTTGAGCCATTTCCCGGAAGGGAATGCTGAGCCCTGGTCTCGGACAGTGACCTCGGGCATCCCGAACGCTTCACCTCCAGACTACTACCCCTCCCCGTGAATTCCACTCCAGAGACTTGCAAGTCTGTTTGCATGGAGGTGTTTGTGTTACTTAACACCACATAAAAATAGGTCAATCTGCCTACCGGTGCCCTGGGCGGCGGCCCTCCCTAGCATTCTGGGGTTTTTTTTTTTTTGCAGGTTGTGGATTGGAACTTGCCAAATTGTTCTTGGAAGAGAGTCAGAGGCAGAGTGCAAGCAGCAGGGAGGGTGGGGTGGGCGAGGGCGTTGCCGCGCTGAAGCGCACGTCAAGGTCACTGGGGATCTTTCTCTCCTTCCTCTGCAGGGAGGGCTGGGCCCCCCCTCCCCACCCCGGGGATCAGGGACTGGCAGGGGCGGCTGCGTAAAGCCAGGGTGGGGTGGCCATCCAGCTCTATCTGGTTCACCCCGCCTCGCCCCCGGCTGCTCTGCCTCACCTTGGACCCAGTAGGAGAGAGTGAGAGAGAGAGATCAGGTGTGTTTGCCTGAGCCAGGGGAGGGACTTTGGAAATACCTGTCTCCAGGCCACGAAGAGGAAGAATGTCACCTCTCACCATTAGTGTGATTCATTGCTGTCACAGCTGAACTCCAGGGGGGCAGAGTCAGCCGGCCCAAGCCAAACGGCTGTTGATTCCATGGAGCTGGCGCCGGCCCTGTGCCCGCTTGCACAATAATGGGGCACCTGCCAGGGCGGTGATGGAGAGCAGGTGATGCTGGATGGGATGTCATGGACTGACTGGGGCTGGTTGGGGCTGCTGCGGGCAGGGTCCCCTGCACCGTCCAGAGGAGGGGGATCCTGCCTCAGAGCCAGGCTTGGAGGCAGGCTGGTGGAGGAGAAGGAGGCTCAGGACATTCCCTGATATCCCCCGCTTCTCCCCAGCCGTGCGAGCTTAGGCAGACCGCAGCACCTCTGTCACTCTCTTGGCGAAACGAAGTCCTTCCTAGCCATAGGGTATGCTGGGCTCCGGTTATAACCCTGGGAAAGCCACTTAAGCCTCAGTTTCCTCACCTGTGCAATGGGTCCATCAATCCCTTTCCTGTTCCCTTGCAAGGTCAAAGTGATACAAGGGCTTAAAAACACTTTGAAAGGTCTACATGTGGATATTATGTTATTAATATTTATATTATCATCCATTTCCTTATGCATCCTTTCTTTGATCACAGGGAGGCCCTTTTGTTAGCCCTGGAGTTGAGTTCTGACTTCCCTACGTGATGCTGCGGTTTCCTCTCCTGTTAGATGGGGGTCACAAAACCTGCTTGACTGAGTCATTGGAAGGAACAAAGCAGATCAAGGAGGCAAACTCTCCTTAGAACTATCGAGAATCATGAAGTGGACGGAACTGTTACTGACTGAGGATTTCTGGCCACCAGACTTCGAGAGGACACCGACATTGAACAGACACCTAGGCCAGACTCGGCTTTCTGTGCAGTAAATGACAAAGATGATTATGAAGCCAGCTATGAGCCATTCGGGCCATGCCAGTGTAATCCAGAAAGTTGTGGAGGAAGGCAGGAGCAGAGAGGGTGGGCTTGCTCCTGGAGGTCTTCCTGGAGGTGGTGAGCCCAAAGCTATTTTGCAGAAAGAAGGGGGAATGTGGTTATGAGGCGGCGAAGACTGCAGCTGGAGAGAATAGCCTCTATTCCAGTTCCGGCCCAGACTTGAGTTCTGAGAAAAGTCAAGAATGCATTTCTCTCCAGGGTGTTCACTGTGGGAGAGGTGGGTCAAACAGGTTTGCCCTTGTCACCAGCTGTAGAAACAGAAGAGGACGTCCCCATTCCCTGGTGGCTCGGCGAGCAGAAAGCTTTGGTGACCTTGACTCTCACAGTACATTGTCCTTTGGCAGTTCCCACGACCTGTGTGCCCCACGGCTCGGGTCATCTTGAAGCCAAGACTTAAGGAATGGGCCCTCCAGGACCCACCTCCCCCGGCCTCGCCTTATAAGACCCCAGTGACCCTGACGTCTGCGGCTGTAGCTGGAGACGGGAACGAACATTCCTTGGGGCTCGGGGACTCCGGGCCGCACGGATGGGCCCTGGGAGCTGCCGCCTTCCCTGCCGAGGGGCCGGGCATGCCACGCGGCTGAAGACCGACCCCAGCCAGGAAACGGGGCTCCCTAGGGGCTGCTGGC